AAATGCCCCCGAACTTCTCCTTGAGGGTCTTGCTGGACTTGGCATCTCTCGGAAAGGACAGGCCACCTAGGGGTTTTAGATGACTTTCCTATGCCCTCTTCAGGCAGAGAGCAGTCCAGGGTCCAGAAGGCCAGAAATTCCACCTGCAGTGTATCCTCTCCTGCCCAGAAAGCAGCTCAGGCTCCCACAGTCCACGCTGGTGCCGGACTGGGCAGCTTTCTGAGCTAGTGAAAGGGATTTTCACTCGGCTGACCTTAGTGTGTTCAGGGCCTTTCAAACTCTGGAGGGCTGAGGGGAGGGTGAAGTCGAGGGGACCTGAATGGGAGCCCCAGAGATGGTGAACAGAGGCTGCACCAGAGATCAAAGGCCCAGGAAGAAACAGAGGGTCGGGGCTGCCCTTTCACCCATGGCCACTATTCACAGCTCCGCCTCTCTGCCAAGTCCACCCTGGGGAGGGAATCACTGCTCTCAGGCTTTGTACCCCCAGCCCAGTGGGATTCCCAAGGCCTATCCTGGAGACTTCTCCGTGAAAGCTCTTAGGCTGGCCCAAGGAGGGGAGGAGGCTGCATCCCACATCTGGGCAGCACACCACCCTGACCCTCAGTATTATCCACAAGCCCCCTAAGCATCTCTGGGTCCTGTGCCCTGTGCCAAAGAGCAGGCCAGGGAGAGAAACCGTGTGCTGTGTGGCCTCTGCCCAGTCAAGTCCATGTGGATGGCCACCTCCGAGTCAGGAGGCAGGAAGGAAAAACAAATAGGTAGAACCACTTTCAGACAGTCAGCCAGAGAAGCACGTGCTTCCCCAATTCGAATAGGCCTCAAAAATCACAGAGTCCTTTGGCACCTGGGTAGCTCAGTCGTTAAGCTGCTGTCTTCAGCTCAGTTCATGGTCCCAGGGTCCTGGGGTCAAGCCCCACATTAGGCTCCCTGCTCAGCCGGAGGCCTGCTTCTCTCTCTCCCACTCCCCATGTTTGTATTCCCTCTCTTGCTATCTCTCTCTCTCTCAAATAAATAAAATATTAAAAAAAAAAAAATTCATGGAGTCCAAACCAAAATGCCTTATTTGGCTCTCCTGCCTCTCCTTTGTCTAGCCCCTGCTCACACATCTGATAACAGGGAGCTCATTACCTTTTCAACCGAGTGCTCTCACCCTTGGCCCAGCCTGGCTGCTGTTTGAAAGCTGTTCCTTGCCCTGAGCTGTGCTCTGCCTCCTCGGAGCTTCCTGCTGCCAGCCCCAGCTCTGCTCTCAGCGGCCCCAGGGCCTTCTCTGCCACATGAGCCACACACAGCTCATCTGAGATTCGGACACAGTGGCCATATCCCCGAAGCCAATCTTGGAGGCAAACGTCCCAGGGAGAGTCCTAGAGTTTCTAGACTGAAAGGGCTGTTGGCAATCCACTAGTCAAACAGTTGTTCTAACTTGTTTGTTTTTACTACAGAACTCTTTATTCAAATAGAGCTTTCTGTGGAAGCCCAAAATACCAAAGAGAAACCCTCCAGGTTGAGATTACCCACTCCCCCCGCTTACTAATTATGAACACTCAACAGGCAGAGGACTGACCCATTCCACCAAAGAGCCCTTACTAAGCACCTATTATGTGCCAAGCACTTGTACCAAAGCCACATTACCCAATACAACAGCCGCTGGGCATGTCAGGAGGCTCCTGAACACAGTGAAATGGGGCTAGTGCAACTGAGGGACTCCATTTTAAATTTCATGTGATTTTAATTATTTTAAATTTAAAAACAGAAGCAATATAAAGTATTCCTGCCTTGATAAAGGGCCACTTCTTAGGAAGAGGCTTCCTGTGTCCCTTTGGTCAGAATCAGCCCCTCCCTGCCTTGCTCTCCCGCTCTGGTGTTGCTGCCCATCGTGGCAGCACCTGACACGCTGCCAGGTGGCGGGACTGAGGGCTTGCCAGTCTTGTCTGCCAGCCCGTGAGTTCTAGAGGGCAGCCCTGTGTGACTAGACCCTATGACCACCACCCCCAGCCCTGAGGCCTGGGCAGAAGAGCGGCACCAGGAAATGCCCAAGTCCTAGCTGGAGATGACTGCAAAGCAGAGTGGAGTGAGCAACGCCACCCTATAGGGCCTCAGTCGCCTCATCGGAGAAATGGGAGTGAGGATTCCTCTCGGCCTCTTCCCCTTGGCCTTCTATGCCTCTCTCCCTCATGGCCCTTCCCTCAGGCTGCCAAGGGCTCCTGGGGAAAATAGTGCCATGGTCTCCAGCAAGGCACCAGCCCCACCGTGGACTCAGCAATGCTGGTTTCTGACCTTCTCACCACACTCTTTGCAGCAGCATCCAACCTACTCTCTAGGCCCTTCTGCCTGAAACTCTTCCACACGCTGTTCCCAGGCTCTGCCCAGCCCCAGGCTGCTCTGCCTTCAAAGCATCTCTCTGGAGGGACCCAGGGGTAATAGATAGTGGGAAAATACCAGGGAACTGAGGCCTTCGGGGGCTCTCCAGCTCTTCCCAACTCCCCAGGCCACACCACCTGTGTCACCAGAACTCTTTGGTGCCTCGATTTCCTCCCCTATAAGATGGAGGTGGCATTTTCTGCCTCTTTAACTCCCCCTGAAGCCAGTGCAAGGATCCAGGGAGATAAAGAAAGAGGACAGGAAAGGGCAGCAGGGAGCACCGTGGAGTGAGTACTCCTCCCAGACAGTGTGCTGGTGGGAACAAGGGCACTTCTGCCCACCTCCCTGCTCAGTACACTCCTGGTGATGCAAGATGGGGAGAGAGGGAGGCTCTGGTTGCCAACTGTGCCTCCTGCTCTTACCAATCCTGTTAGGTTCCAGGACCATCATCAAATCATTCTCCCTTAGCCCCCAGACCGCAGAATAGATCACTTCCCAGGTCTTTCTGGGGATCAGGACTTGATCGCAAAGATTATCGAATCCCACATCTAATTCTTGACACTCTTCTATAGCCACCCCAGCACATGTTCACTTAGGCTCACTTCCATGCCTCTAGTGACAGGGTACTCACTACCTCTCAAGTTTGCCCCAGACACTCTCACATTTACATGTTCTTTCTTACACTGGGCTGAACTCCCCTCTGTATCTGCTGCCCGCTGGCCTTGAAGGCCAACAGCAAAGTCTCATTCCTCTCACCTTCTGAGCCAGCCCCCCAAATATTTGAAGGCAACAATCCAGCCCTGATCATTCTTCATTGTATCAAAACAACCCCAGAGCCTCAAGGTGTTTTCCAGGCACTATGATATCCAGACCCAGTCCATCCAGGTTAGGGTCACCTGAACACATTTCCATCTGTCACTGTCCTTCTTAAAGGTCAATACCCCAAATGGGCCACCGTCCTCAAGGAATGACCTGATGGCACAGAGCAGTCTAGACCAATAACACACCTGCACTCTGAACACTCAATACATTTCATTTATTTTTAAAATTTATTTATTTCAAGTAGGCTCCATACCCAGTGTGGGGTTTGAACTCACGACCCCAAGATCAAGAATCACAGGCTCTACCCACGGAGCCAGCCAGGTGCCCCTTGAGACCTTTCAAAGCAGCATGAGAAGCTAAACAGTGGCCGCTGATCAGAGACTGAAAGCCAGTATGGTGTTCCACAAACACAGTGAAACAGCCCTCCTCCCCCAAATCAGGACCTGTCTGTTTGGTGGTAAACATCAAACCAGATTTTTTTTTTCTCCAAAAATCTCTGCTGGGATCCCTCAGCCCGTGAGGGAGTGTCACACAACCCGCCCCTCCATCGTGATCAAACACAGCTGGGCCCCAGCTTGGGCACATCTGCTGCACGTCCAGGTGACAATGGGAGAAAAGATGACAGCATCAACCCCATAAACCAACAGAGATGGTAGGCCTACTGCCTCCTGCGGTAACACAGCACAGCACCCGCTGAGTTAAAGATTTCTGACATCTGCTCCAAGTGGCAAGAACAGGGGAAAGAGGTGAGGTGGGTTCCGAAGCCGTGAACCATCCACACACACCCCCCTCAGCTCCAAACGGAGGCCCCAGGCCCAGCCTCTGCACGGCCCGGAACACGCAGACCACAGGCCAATCCACCGCTGGGCTGACTCAATTTTCTAGTTACAGATCTTAAGTACTTAGGCATGTGCTCACGAGAACATACATCCCTTACAGGGAGCCGAGAAAGGGAATTGTGCCGAGGAACAGAATAATTGAATCAAGATTTCTGTCACGCGGCTCTCAGGCCCTAAACCATGGGCGTTTTTTTGTTTTTTTTTTTTCCCTTTCCTGACGAAGGTCTTACAGACTCCCAGGGGTCCGTTTCTCCTCTCAAACCCATTAACATCAGCCACACTGGCAGCCTGTCCAGGCCACAGAGAGCCAGGTAAAGGCGGGGCAGTGTCCGGAATGGAGATGGCCAGCTCCAGAGACCCAGCCAGCAGACGCACACGGGGGTTGAGAAAAACCAACTGGGAAGATTATCATCTTTGTAATCCCGGGGTTGGGGGGGGGCACCATACTCCTTCCTCCCAGCCCCAAGGGCAGAGATGAGATGATTCACTTCCTCAACCCCCAGCATCACCACTGCTGGAGGCCTTCCTGGGAAAGTGTGCACAGCCCTTCCAGAAGCCACCTGCTGACCTCTCAGGGCAGGGCACCAGACACCCCCTCCCGACCACCCCCAGTGCTCTGGTGCAGAGGGAACAAGGACATGCACACACCCTTCACGTCCTGCCCTCAGGCATCAGATCTGCACAGGGGTCTTCTCACACACCACCAAGCTCAGGCCACAAGGGTTGTGCCAGGCCCACTCTCCTCCTGCCAAGTGGTGAAGATGAGGGCAGGCCAGTGGGAAGCCCCCAGTTCCCAGCTCGCAGCCCCGCTGCCTCTCCCAGAGCAATCAGCCCCTGCCCGCGTCCCCTCCACCTGGGGACTCAGGGGCTCTGCAGGTAAGCAGGTGCTCAGTGGGCATCTTCACTTCCGCCCCTGACTGATCGCCCCACAGCAGAGCCCGGCGGGTTCACCCCGGACAAGGCTGCGTGGCCATCTCTTACCTTCATCCCTCTTGCGCTTGTTGGTGTCGGCGCTGGGGGACGTGATGCCCAGGATGCCGCTGATGGAGTACGAGGAGCCGGCCGAGTCCGTGCTCACCGAGGACACCTGCGTCACGGAGCCCGTGGACACTGCGCAGAGGGAGAGGGGCGGTCAGGGCTGCAGGAGCGGGCGGCGCTTTGGGCCACCAGCCCAAACAAAGGCGCTCGCCCTGCACTGGGCTGATGCGACTGCTGAGCAGGGGAGTGCGGGGCGCAGGGAGTATGTGCTGAGGACACTCGCCCCAGGGCAGCCGCTAAACCTGGGCTATGTGAGCAGCCCCCAGGGGGCTGTTTGCCCAGGTTTTCTGCTGCTGGGGGCGGTGAGAGGGAGAGGATGGGCTGCCAAGAGGACTGGCGGTGCAGAAGGGAGCTCAGGACAGTGTCAGAAGGGCACTCGTTCCAATCCCAGCCTGTCCAAGGATGCAGGAAGCTGAGGAATGGAGAAGAGAGAGAGGGGGGAGCTAGGGCCCACCACCAGCCACAGCTAAAATAAAAAGACCTAGATGACTCATTGAGCAGGTTCAGTCCCTGCTACAAATCCACCCCTCCATGAAGACGGGAGGGCCTGCACATTCCTACATACAGCCAACAAAACTCCAAACAGTAATCCATCCCTTCTTTTTATAGTTCCTCACCCTTTTCTCCTTCCAGTTTACCTGGATTCTAATATTTAATATTAATTATGTAATAATGATAGGCTATAGAATGGACTCTATATTGTGCACACATCCTAATCACTGATATATAGAATAATGATAATTAACGTTTTCAGAGAACTTCCTCTGTGCCAGGCATTACTGAAGCATTTTTTGATTTAATTCTAAGAACAATCCTATAAGGGAGGCAGTATTATTAGCTCGTTGGAAAGGTAAGGGAACCAAGGCCCAGAGAACGGTAAGTGACTTGCCCAAGGCCACAGAGCTCAGAAACTGAAGTCTGAACCTCTCGAGTAACCTGTTCCTCGTTAAGGAATCATTGAAGACAATTCTATGCTTCACATTAGTGCAGTGCTTTTCATCTGACGGTTCTAACAACCTAAAATGCTATTATTTTCCCCCTTTGGTAAACGAGGCTCCACAGGTGAAGGGATTTATTTGCTCGGTGTCATCTAGCCAGTAAGCAGTAGCCCTAGAGCTTAGCCTCGGGTCTGCTGACCTCAAGTCTAGACTTCCCCCTGTCCGGAAATGGGCCGGGGTTAGTCACTTAGGGTGACTGAAGCCAGGTCTCTACATTCCTAAGGATAAGCATGGGGGAGGGGAAGTTTCATGCAAGTCTCACATTAACTCCTAACCCCAGAGTCCAAGGGAAAGACCAGTCAGTCAGTCGTCAGGGTCCTCTCAAGCTCTCCAGCTGAATTTCCATTTCTGGGCTGTGGGAATTCTTTCTTGGTTCATTAAAACCTACAAACCAATCTCAGACACATTTCCTTGGGCTATAACTAGCTGGAGGCAGGTGGAGCCGCCTTTGACTCTAAAGTGTAGGAAATTACGAGAAATGGTGGTGATTGCATGAGAAGCTGTTTGTTGCTTTCCTTGGAGCATATCCAGCTCTTGCTCCTACAGACCTAGAGGGAACAGTGCCTTTCTTCTCATATTTGAGTTAGATTTTTAGATCTTCCTTAGGAGACACAGAAGTAGAAATCGTTAACTTCTCTTTTCCTTCACCAGAAGAGGCTCCTCAAAATAGATTTATGCAAATCTCACAACCTTTTCTGTATTAAGGTGCAAAGAACAGAGGAAGAAAGAAGATCACAAGTCACTTGGTACTTTAAAAAACAACCACCACGTACAATCAAGGCTCGCCATGTTGCCAACAGAGCCAATGACATTTTGTGATTGCACTAGACTCCCAAGACCCAAGTTCCAGTCCTGGCTCGGCTCTGCCACATACAAAGCAGGGTGCCCTTGGGCTAGTTAATCAATCTCTCAACTTCTATTTCCTCTGCCCTCAGTAACTTTGTAAGCTATAAGGGGCTGTACACATATAAGATGGATCTTTTATAAAAATTGCTGAGATGAAACAAAGCATTCTGCTGACCTACAAGTAGAACTGTTCCTCTAACCCAACTGTAGCACTAGTATCAGTACTTAGTCTGATACTCATTGTTCCCTGATCTGAAACAGTTAAAGCTACAAGTGAAAAATCTCAGCCACAAACATTTCCCCAGGAACCCTCCTCAATCCTCTTCACCCCAGCTCAAGAGAGCTGGTAGTTCCCTTCCTTTGGCTCACACAGTGCCCTGTACTTTCTTCTTGAGTCTTATCTCAGTGTTTTGCAAACTTCTCTTACATTCCCTGCTCAGACTGAGAAGCCCTTGAGATCGGGGATTAAGTCCTGCCTCCTTTAAAACACCAGTCTCCTACAAAGCAGGGGCTTAGCAAACACTTTCTGAATGGACTACTAAAGAAAAGTTATTTATTTATTCATTTATTATTTATTTACTTTTAATTTATTTATTTAAATTTAAATACAATTAACACATAATGTATTGTTTGTTTTAGGGGTACAGGTCTGTGATTCATCAGTCTTATATAATTATTTTAGGGGCACCTGGGTGGCTCAGTCAGTTAAACATCCACCTTCGGTTCAGGACATGATTTCAGGGTCCTGGGATGGAGCCCCTGCATTGGGCTCCCTGCTCAGCAGGAAACCTGCTTCTCCCTCTCTCTCTGCCCCTCCCCCCTGCTCATGTTCTCTCTCTCTCAAATAAATAAATAAAATCTTAAAAAAAAAAAAGGAATTATTTTATGGTAGGGAGGAATTCTATCTTACCTTCATCCAAAGAGGCAACCATGGAGGACCAAAACCTCAGGGAGCATCTCATTTGTGTCCCTCAGTCCACAAATGGGGAAACTAAGGCTCAGAGAAGTAAAGGGACTTACACAGTTCACTGGATGAGTTCGTGGCAGAGCTGGCAGAGCCTGGCCTCTGCCCATTCTCGCATCACCATGGGAAGTTCAAGTTTGCAGTTAAAGAGGGAGTGACATTACACAGTCTGAGACATTATTAAGTGACAGTAATAGGGACTGTCAGAGGCTTACTGAATGGCCACCACTCTTTTATAGGAGAACAACCTTAGCCCCAGTGACATATGTCATTGTCATCTCACAGTCTTTGTGGGGAAAGGAAAGGCACAGGGAAACTTCTGGACTCCTCAAAAGGACCCCCAGGCTTCCAAGCAACGCTCCCTCAGACTATCCCCCGTGAGTGTCAAAACCCCCACAGCAGCCCTCAATCGTTCACAGAGTACATGAGATCGAAGCGAGAGAGGAGAGAGAGAAAGAGAGAGAAAAGTTTGGGAAGTTTTGCCACATCTTCACTCAAGACTGCAAGTGCACAAAGAATTGTGGAAGGGCTGGTTGATAGAAGAAAAAAACACATTCAAAACTACTTACTGACTAATGATGCAGAAAATGTTATGAATAAGTATCCCTTTCTTGATTTATTACTTTAATTATCTGACATTCTATAGACCCCCATTAGTGGATTTTTTTTTTTTTTTTGGCTTAGATTTCAATTTTCTGTCTCATGGTGAAAGCTATTTATCATAATAATCAGTAAAATTCAAAACCTTTTAGCAGTATTTATAAAATTCATTTACCAGGTTCAGCCCTTGGAGAATGACAAAGAAGGCGCATTAGTACGTGTGCCGAAGTGTTTTATGCAGAATTATCTGTCCATAAGAATGATTAAAAGTTCTTTAGAATATTTGGAGCCCATTAGATTTTTAAATTTTTTTTAAAAGTTCTTCTTACCTATGCTGTGACTGGAAGCTGGGACTGGCTGGTTGGGTGGTTGTTGTACTTTCGTCCGGATGATCCTGTGGACAGGTGGGAAAGAAATAAATGGTTATTTGCCATCATGGAGAAGATATCTCAACTAGCTCTGCACGGACAACCAGTAAAGCCATATCAAGCGGGGGCAGAGAAGGAGGGAGGTTATGACCCTAGATTGGGAGTTAGAGGGTTCAAAGAGCTATGGACTAGTGCCAACTCAGCCCCTACCTCCCTGGGTGTCTTGGGATAAATTGTGCCCCTGTCTGGGATTCGAGGGTCTCTTCTGTAGAAAAAGGGTGATATGTTAGTGTTACGAATGGGCATCTTCTTTCCTCTAGAGCAGCTGCAGCTCCTGAAAGAACCTCCTGAGTGATGTTAGGGAGTTTCTTCCCTTCCCTGGAACTGTGCCCCTCCTCGGTGGAATGACAGGACTGAACCAGGTCACCTCTCTGTTCCCTAGGGGCCCATGTGCTCTTGTTTTCTCTGCCTTAGAGAGCCATAGAACGAGTCACATCCCCACCTGTCAAAAATTATCAAGGAAGTGGATGTTTATTGCTCTCAAACTAAAAAGGGTTAAAGGGCTGGCTTGGCTTTGCTACAAGGAGCCTTCCAAAGTTGTCTTGTACAAAAATCTCATGCTTAAGCTCCAACAGGGCCAGGAACCAGGGGTGTTCTGGCCTGTCTTTCCAGAGACCTCGCTCTAGTTCTAATATGATGAACTTGATTGTGACCCTGGGCAAGTCCACTCCTTTGTGGGCCCCAGGACAACGAGGGAGTTGGAACAGATCACTCTACTTACTTTGAGTAATTAAATCCTTTTTTTGGGAAAAAGTCTTCCAGAAAAGCCTATTGTATAAAAGGGGTAAGAGCAGTACTGCCTTCCCTTTGCACCTGCTGGCTCTGATGTTCCTCACAGAGCACTGGACTCTGGGAAGCTCAGTCTGTAAATTTCTACCTGGAACAACACACTCATATAGGCCTCCTCCATGAGACCCCAAGCCCTGTGTGTCATAGGGCACGCAACCAGGGCCAGGCCAGAAGCCCCTGCGGGGTCTACAAGAAAGTTTCTTCCCTGGCATTTGGGAAAAGTGTGGGTGGTAATACAACTTTTCTTTGGAAAAGTTCTACTTCAGCCTCTATTACCTTTTAAAAGAAATTAGAGTTTTTATTTTCTTTTTTTTTTAAGATTTTATTTATTTATTTTGACAGAGAGAAAGAGCACAGGTAGACAGAGTGGCCAGCAGAGGGAGAGGGAGAAGGGAGAAGCAAGCTCTCTGCTGAATGGGGAGCCCGACATGGGACTCGATCCCAGGACTCTGGGGTCATGACTTGAGCTGAAGGCAGCGGCTTAATGGACTGAGCCACCCAGGTGCCCCTAGAGTTTTGTTTTGTTTTTTAATTATAAAAGCAATTTTGTGCTTATTGTAGACTATTAGGGCAATAAATAAAGAAGAATAAATAGAAGAAGGATAAAGAAAGAAAGAAGATATCTAAAATCACATTTCAGTGTATTTCCTTTATGCTAACATTCCTATGCATATGAAGAAATATCCATTTTCTGATAGCAAAATCAGGATTAAACCATGTACACAGTGTGTATCCCGCTCTCTTCACTCCATGCCATAGGAGAGGCTTTTTCACATTCCAGACCATTATTTCTGGAAGTCCAAGTTGCAAGCTGCCCTGGGTCTCCAGCCTGAACAAATGGAGAGCAGTGAGGATACCGTGGCTGAGTTATGGCCTCCGCCCTCTGCGATCTCACAGCTCAGTGGTGGGCACCCAGGCTGCTCAGCATGCTCGGCTGAGAGCCTGGAACGAATATTTCCCTTCCCACCACAGCCCAACCACGGGTCCTCTGGAGTCCAGGCCCTTGAACCTCCAGGGTCCTTTGCCCCTTCCTATGAGTCAGTGTAAGTGTTGCAGCAAATGTATTCGGTACTTGTTTGTTTTCTCCAATATTCAAACAGCTTATTTTAACTCAGCAAACACAGAACATATTCACAAGGACCTGGGAGGGAGGTAGTCTTTTGGAACCAACTGGAATTAAGCTAGAATCTGATCCAATTTTTAGTATTTTTGTGTATGTCACCTTCTTTGTGCATGTCACCTTCTTTGTGCATACATGCGTGTTTGTGTACAGAGACAGAGCTCAGTGTGAATATATGGATACACCAGATGTAAATGTAGTTTATCCATGCTATGGTTTATATATGTACAAAAATATGGTGACGTATTTCAAAACTATTTCCCATTACTTCCAGTCCTAACTGGACTGGAAAAGTCCTAACTTTTCAAAGAATTGTCTGGCCATTAAATTTAAGCGAAGAAAATTTTATTTTCCTTATTTTTCTTTCAATGTGTTTATAAATCATTTGGTAAGACATTATCAATTGTTATAAATCACTGAGAGGCAGCTGCAGCTATTAGTTAAATACACAGGCTCTGCAGGATGCCTGGGTGGCTCCGTCAGTTAAGTGGTGGTTAAGGGACTGCCTTTGCTCTGGTCATGATCCCAGGATCCTGGGATCAAGCCCCACTTCGGGCTTCCTGCTCAGCAGTGGGGGGACCTGCTTCTCCCTCTCCCTCTGCTGCTCCCCCTGCCTGTGCTCTCCTGCTCTCTCTCTGTGTCAAATAAATAAATAAAATCTTTAAAAAAAAAAAATTATATAAATACATATATACATACATACACACACACAGGCTCCAGAATCAGACTACTAGTGTTTGGATCCCAGTTTTCCAACTTGCCAGCTGCATGTCCTAGAGTAAATTACTTAACCTCTCTGTGTCTCAGTTTCTTCACCTGCAAAGTGGGACTAAGAATCATTCCCACCTCATTGGGTTATTATGATAATTTAACTAATTAATTATTTAGAAGAGCAGCTACTACATAGTAAATTCTCTATAAATGCTAGCTATTATTTTCAGTAGTATCTTCATAACAACTAAAGACTAGCTTCAACCTTAAAAGGTCCATATTTTCCACAAATGCCTTAAAAACACATGGGCTCCCCCTGGGAGTGGGGCAGGAGATCGCTGCCATCCCCACACCCTATTTTTAAGGCTGTAGTGGGGTCGTCCTCCATAGGTGAGACCAGAGTATAGGGAACCCTCCAAAGCTGTCCCCAAAGATAGAGATTTTGTCCATCTGCTTGCAGCAGCTGCCAAAAAAAAAAAAAAAAAAAAAGAACAAAGAACAAAGAGCATTATCTTCCACTGTGAAGAAATGGCAGTGGGAATAATAAGACTAATTGATTCATAGCAATTCTTTAAAAATTAAAAATTAACAAAAAAAATTTTTTTAAGATTTTATTTATTTATTTGACAGAGAGAGATCACAAGTAGGCAGAGAGTCAGGCAGAGAGAGGGGGAAGCAGGCTCCCCGCCGAGCAGAGAGCCCCATGCGGGGCTCGATCCCAGGACCCCGAGATCACAACCCGAGCCGAAGGCAGAGCCTAACCCACTGAGCCACCTAGGTGACCCAAAAATTAACAAAAAAAAAAATTTTTTTTAAATTAACAAGCGATCGGGCGCCTGGGTGGCTCAGTGGGTTAAGCCATTGCCTTCGGCTCAGGTCATGATCTCAGGGTCCTAGGATCGAGTCCCGCATCGGGCTCTCTGCTCAGCAGGGAGCCTGCTTCCCTCTCTCTCTCTGCCTGCCTCTCTGCCTACTTGTGATCTCTCTCTGTCAAATAAATAAATAAAATCTTTAAAAAAAAATTAACAAGCGATCATCAAGACTCATCACAATAAGAGTCACACTCTGGACCTTTTCTAAATCACAGACAGTCTGGCTAACTGGCACATAACACTAAAAGGTCTATCCTCTACTTTGCTGTGCATGAGCACGACCCTGGGTGCCATGTGAACATCCTAGATGGTCCAACAGGGAAGAGAGTCCGGCAGTCAGCCAGTTCCTCCAAACTGGGAAACCAAAGCCCAGAGTGCTCAAGTGACTTGCCCAGGGTCACACAGCCGGTCAGACTTTCAGCCAGACTTCCAGGCCCCATCCCTGAGAACTTTTATTTGGACCACAAAGAATGAAAAAAGAGGAAGCAGTCCCTCTGCTAAATATTTCCTATATGAGACGTAAAGCCTATGTGGATTCCAAATCCATTTAGAAGATGAAGGACTAATGTCCCAGGGACTTTGGGTATTACAGGCACTTGTAAGGATCGATTTCAACATAACCCTCACTTCTCTGAAAGACAGGTCTTCTCAGACACATCCCCCATCCCCCCCCATACACAATTACACTGAAAGAGAAAATCAGGAAATCATGCACCTTTAGAAAGGAAATAGGAAGACAGAGCTATGGAGATTCCACATCTACGGCACTAATGAAACCACCATTAGACAGTAAGAATCCTGGGCCATCGGTTGTGCTAAGAATCCACAACCAAGGGTCCAACTGGGCCATGCTGGGAGCGGCCCCACAAGAGACACCCAGGCCAGCAACCGAAGTGGAGAAGAAAGAGGGAATGGGTAAACAATCTCAGAAGCCTTGCTGCCCAAGTTCAGAGGAAGAGCAGAGTTCACAGACTAGCTCCCTCAGGCCACATCCGTCCCTGAACAAGCTTTGTTTAGCTGCACGATTATTTGTTTTTATTTGAATTAGTTGCCAATATTTGCAAGGTGGGGGGCACCTGGGTGGCTCAGTCGTTAAGCATCTGCCTTCGGTTCAGGTCATGATCCCAGATCCTGGGATCGAGCCCCATCCTGGGCTCCCTGCTCCATGGGGAGCCTGCTTCTCCCTCTCCCACTCCCTCTGCTGTGTTCCCTCTCTCACTGTATCTCTGTCAACTAGATAAATAAAATCTTTTAAAAAAAATATTTGCTAGGTGGGAACTTTTACATAAATACGTGGATCTGTAGCTTCCCTTGAAAAATCCGAACACCTAGCCATGCTGACCCCACGTTCCCACATGACCACAACCAACTGTTGGTTAAATTGGTTAAAAAGAACTGTCTAAAGAGAGACAACAAAAGAGAACTGTCCTTCTAGCTGGGAACGCCATGCACAGTGCCCACCACTTGGCCACTGATTTAGAGCCACGGGCCTCAAACAGAGGCCGGCTCCATTCCACCTGTCTCTGCCAGCTCTCCGACAGTCACCTCCAACGGACACTCAGGCTGGAATCTAAAGATCCTTGGGGCAGCATCCCAGTGCTAACTTGTCCTTAGGAAGCGATATAAATGTGATGTCTCATGTCCCAGGAAATCACCCACACACTCAGCACAACAGGTGCTGTGGCACTGAACTCCACGTCAGTCATGGGTTCCCCGGGCTGGTCTCCCAGGAGACAGCAGGAAGGCATACGCTTGTGGGGGAGGACAGTGGAGATGACACTGCGGCCACCAGAATAGCTACCAATCCAGCCACTGATCCCTCGTTAGCTGTTAAAATAGGGGAATCGTGAGAAGTTGCCTCCAACAAAGGCAGGGGCTGGGAGAGGAATCTGTGGACATTTGCAAGATGGTCCTTTCGAACCTGCATCCGTTTGAACACAGCTCAGCAGCTTTGCCTTCATATGGAGAATAAAACTGCTGGGATGGCTCGGGCTTCCTTGGCTGGAGGGGGGAGGGCGGGCAGCAACAGACAGCGTCCCACACCTCTTCTATCCGCATCGCTGGGTTGGTTGGCTAAAGACCACAAAGAACTCTGGGTAAAGAATGGAGTAAGGAGCCAGAGTGCGCTCCCAGACAAGAGCCCCCGGAGAGGTACACAGGAGAGGGTTTCGGGTCCCCGCGGGAGCTGCAGACAGGCAGCAAAGTGCACAGAGATGGAGTGGGAATGACTGTTTTACTCCCCCTTGATTCTCTTCTCTCAGATCCTCAGTCCTGTCCCTGGCAGAGTCCTACAGGGCAGTGCCATGAGACAGGCCCTCCTGGGTTCGACTCCCAGATCTACCTCAAAATCATCACTCCTGGGGCGCCTGGGTGGCTCAGTGGGTTAAAGCCTCTGCCTTGGCTCAGGTCATGATCCCAGGGTTCTGGGATCCAGCCCCGGGCTCTCTGCTCAGCAGGGAACCTGCTTCCTCCTCTCTCTCTCCCTGCCTCTCTGCCTACTTGTGATCTGTCAAATAAGTAAATAAAAATCTTTTTAAAAAGTTTTAAAAATTTTTAAAATCATCACTCCTCTGTACTCCCCTTCTGGGCCTCAGATTCTTTATCTGCCACAGAACCAAGATAAGCCTCTAGGGCTAACGGAGACCACAGGCGCAAAAACACCTCAGAGGCACCGCCACCACAGCGGACACCCAGGAGGCCCTTGAGGCCAGCCACGGCCCCAGCCACAAGCAACCAGCAGGCAACTTTAAGAGTGGAAGGAGTCTGGCAAACCCTGGGCCTGCCTTCCTGGCAGCATTCGGCCAATGCTGAGGACCACGTGGCCCTTCAGTTCTGCCATGCTGTCTGTCTGTCCCAGCTCCAGCCTCTCCCTATCACCTCACAGCCACCCCACTTCACGGGTTCCATCACTGCCTGGCTACCACAGGCATTAGAGTTTGGGACTCCCACGTGCAACCTAAAGTTCTCTTTCAAACCACCAATTACAGTCACACCCTACACTGGCAACTCTGTGGGCCCTCAAAGCCTGACCATGGGTTTGACAGAAGTTTCTCTGCAGAGCAGGCGTCTGCTGCTTCCCTGCTTCTAGGCATCACACGCCTCACTCTACATTAGGGCTTTTGGAGACGTGGGGGAAAAGTCATATTGCTTTGCGTGGTGGAATTCCTACAATAAAGCCAGAGGCAGAGGACTCACAAAGCACACTGGAGTCCCTCATAATCCAGAAAAACAACAGGAGTATCCCCCCCTCCAAACCCACCACAATCTTTGCTATCTCCTCAGCTAATTTGGGCTGGTCAGACTTCTACTACGCACCAGAATCCCACCCTAGACAAGGAGGCCTTCTAGAGACTAAGAGACAATGAGCCCGATTTCCCTCTCTCATCTCAGCACTTTGATGTCAGAGCCAATGTAAAGATTTGCTGAGAGAAAGAAAACAGGCTAATGGTAATAAAATGGCAGGACTCGGAACATCAACACATGGGGCGCCTGGGTGGCTCAGTCGGTTAAGGCTCTGCCTTCGGCTCAGGTCATGATGCCAGGGTCCTGGGACCAAGTCCTGCACTGGGCTCCCTGCCCAGCAGGGAGCCTGCTTCTCCCTTTCCCTCTGCCTGTTGCTCCCCATGCTTGTGCTCTCTCTTTCTCCCTCTTTGTGTCAAATAAATAAAATCTTTTAAAAGGGCATTAAAAATTTGCTTTAAAAAAATAAACCAACCCAGCAACACAGACACTCACACAGTGATTCTACGCATTTGAATCATCCCAGAAGGAACACCCAGCAGGCCCAGAAGAGATCTCTGAGACATTGTAGTCTAATCACCTCTTTCTACCGGGTGTGAGGGGTCTCTTATGCCCACACAGGCTCTGCACTGACAAGGGTCAGGTGTGACTTTGGAGAAATGGGAACTGGTCAAGTTTTCACCCTGCTGGCTTCTCTTTTCTTTGTGGAGTTTAGACAACGGTCATTTCAGTTTATCTCGTAATTTCATCCTTGACCTCTGTGGGTTTAGATAGAGCTGAGACTGCACCGTCTACAATAGAACACTTTCTTTCAGGACTTGTTAAAGCTTTGAGAGCTCCGTCAGATACCTCCAGGGTCAGACTACAGAGAAGAAGGTGACTCTGTGGCTCCTGGGAGAATCCCAGGCCTGGTACCCATGGCATTTCTCTGGTTCTTTCTCTCCATGGGTGAGATTGAGCAGAACTGGGTAGAGGGCAGCCCCCCAACTCCACAGCATCTTAGTATCCTGGATGTCACTCTTGGATATCACAGACCCACATCAGAATCTCCAAGGTCTGGGGCTCTCAGAGACAGGAAGAGCTTTGTCAGGGTCACACTTGGAGCTTCAGACAGAGCTGGGACCAGGAAGTGAATACCCCAACCTCAAGTCCAGGCTCTGTTTTCCACACTCAGTGGCTCAACCTCTGCCCAAAATGAAGGCAGGGATTTTCTTCCTGGGAAGCTCTGATATAGGCCAGTGCTAAGACTTTGAGCATGGGCTTACAAATAAAGTGACATTTGTGGGGCCTGATCAGGACAATTCCCTGCTAAGTGCTCCACACACAGAGACGGGTGGGAAAGGGAGTGATAAAGCACTCTGGGCTCAGAAGAATCTCAAGCAGATTGGGTACTGACATGGCCTTCCCTCCCTGGGCCTAGAACTCCTGCCCACTTTGGAAAGACAAGAAAGGTGATAGAGAGGTCTACAGAGGCCCACGAGCCCCCTCCTCCTGTCTGATAACCCCTAAGGGGCCTTGATGAATGGAGAGACCAGATCCCTAGGAAAGGTACCCACAGAGCCTCCAGGATGCCTCACTCCACCCAGATCCCTAGCCCCCCACTGGCAACAGCCCCTCACCTGTTGATGGAACTGACGCTGGGCACCGTGTCATTGTCACACACCCGTTCCGCCAGCAGCCGGTCCCTGATCTCCCAGGCAAACATGGTGGGATTTTGGCGTTTATACTCAGCGATTTTTTCCACCACTTTGGGCGTGGCGACCTTTGGTTTGGATCCTCCAATTACTCCAGGCTTGATGCTCCCCGTCTCATAATACCTAGGACCCAAGGAGAAAGGAGCTTAGCCATGAGGAACCAGCAAAATGATGTTTACAACAAAATAGTTACTCTGTCCTGGAAGCATCTGGCTCTGTGCTGTGCAGTTCACCAGCCACTAGACATACAGAGCTTTTAAACATCTGAAATATGACTCATTTGAATTGAGGTGTACTATAAGTGTAAAATACACACCAGACTGTCAAAACTTAGTAGAAAAAAAAGAACAGGGGTGCCTGAGTGGCTCAGTGGGTTAAGCCTCTGCCTTCAGCTCAGGTCATGGTCTCAGGGTCCTGGGATCGAGCCCTGCATGGGGCTTTCTGCTCAGCAGGGAACCTGCTTCCCCCTCCCTCTCTGCCTGCCTCTCTGCCTACTTGTGATCTTTCTCTCTGTGTCAAATAAATTAATAGAATCTTAAAAAAAAAAGAACATAAAATACCTCATTAATAGTTTTTATATTGGTCATATGCTGAAGTGATCACATTGTTCATATACTGGGCTAAGCAAACTATGTAAAATTAATTGTACCTGTTTATTTTTCCCTTTTTTAATATACTACCAGAAAATTTTAAATTTCAAGAGTGGCTCACATTCTGTTTCTGTTGGACAGGGCTACTCCAGATGCCATGCATTAATTAGTTAATTAACTCTATCACATTTATCTACCAATTTACGATTTACAGAAAACTTTCAAGTCAGCTTTCCTATTTGATCTCCACAAGAGTTCTCTTTTTTTTTTTTTCAAAGATTTTATTTATTTGTCAGAGAGAGAGAGAGCACACAAGCAGGCAGAGTGGCAGGCAGAGGCAGAGAGAGAAGCAGGCTCCCTGCCGAGCAAGGAGCCCAATGCGGGACTCAATCCCAGGTCCCTGGGATCATGACCTGAGCCAAGGCAGCAGCTTAACCAACTGAGCCACCCAGGCATCCCTGATCTCCACAACAGTTCTCAAGCACATAAATATTTTGAACAAATGAATGAAGAATGAATAAATGGTTCCCCATTGATAGGTATAAAACAGAGATTCATAGAGGTTAAATGGTTTGTCCAGGATCACGCAAGACCCACTAGCCAAACCAGGATGGAAGCCCAGCCTCCTGAGCTAAAATTTCTCCAGGAAGTTGGCCTGTGCCTTTAACTGACCAGCACTCATATCCCCTAGCAGATTCCATCTGCATTCTGTGAAACTGTCCCCTAAAATGTAACTTCTTTTTTTTTTTTCCCTGAGATTAAAATGATAATCCTGGTGTCAAATTAAAAGGAGGGCTGGATTCCAGAATTAACTGGAAATATGTGTTATATAGAAGTCAAAACCCAAGCAATAAAAAAAAGCCAACCACAAGTCACTACAGCTTCTTCCAGGGACCTCCCCTGAGGTAAATCGCTGTTTCTAAGGACATTTCCATGCTATCAGCTCTTCCTCGTTAACACAAATAGGATGTCAGGGTTTTACAGTAAAACCGAGACCGGGGAGAAGAGTGCCGTGAAAGATCATTTCAGGGAAAAAAAAATTACTTGATTCCTTTTCTTAATCTGAGACTTTACTGGATGTTTCTCAACATTTACAGAGGAATTCTTGACTTCTCTTGCAAAGGAGATTATCTTGCAGTTGAGAATATTTTTAGCCAAGAAAACATTTTAGAAATGACTGGTAATTTTTATTATTATTATTATTTTTTAAGTAAACCCTGCATCCAACGTGAGACCAGGACCCACAACCCCGAGATCAAGAGTCACACACTCCACCGACAGAGCCAGCCAGGTGCCCCCATGACTTGTGATTTTTCAACCTACCAAGAGTTTATGATAGGTAAGGGGAAGAGGTGATTCTCCTATGGGACGGATGGGAAGTGTTACCCAAGAGCAAGGACTAGTTACATTTAAAGAGATGCTGAAGGGGAGCCTGGGTGGCTCAGTTGTTAAGCATCTGCCTTCACCTCAGGTCATGATCTGGGATCCTAGGCTCCCTGCTCAGCGGGAAGCCTGCTTCTCCCTCTCCCATTTCCCCTGCTTGTGTTCCCTCTCTCCCTGTGTCTCTCTCTGTCAGATAAATAAATAAAATCTTGAAAAAATAAATAAATAAAGAGATGCTAAAATTCTCAGCCTGGGTAAATCTGGTTAGGGCCAAGTTAATAGATATTCTAGAAATAAATGAAATAATTTTGGGAACAGTGATACGGAAATGGAAATTCTGTTTTTCATTGAGAAGAGCGAGTCATGTACAAACACGGACCATAGGGGAAAACTCGACCTTTCCTCCCTCTTTCTGTAATTTCTGAAAAATTGTAACTAGTCGCAAACAGGCTTTAAGAACTATCCAAGAAAATGCTATTTTGCCAGCAGTTTCAAGGCACACAGGCGTCTCTGAGGCTTCCGAGTTTCCTTCTAACTTTACAATAAAGAGTCGTTTCTTACTGATAACAAGAGTAACTCCTTACCCATGCACAGCGCTCTAAAGGTTACAGAGCCCTTCCTCAAATCTTCCCCATCCTCCCAACAATCCTAAGAGGCCAGCAGGGTTTTATGGAAGGGGAAACAGGATTAGAAGAGTGAGCCCCTTGCCCAACTTCTGGAAGTCAGAGCCAGTCCCAGCTCTCAGATGTGACTCTGAAGCCAGTCTTCTTCCCACTAGAGCACACGTCTGCTGTGAAGTGGGAACAATAATGATGAACCCTCCCACCTGCAGAAAGCTTTCCCCTTTACCAGGCAGTTCACATGCAGCTTTGCCCTCACTCACCGGCCGCGGAGTGCCTGTTACAGGCACTGTCTTGGGGCAGAGCTTACAGACACATAGACAACCCGGGGCTGAGTACTCACAACATACTAGGGGAAGGAGCCCGCGGTGCTCCCGCAGCTGCTGAGAGCGCAGAGGGAGGGAGCTGCCCCTCCCCCAGCTCCTGTCCGGCTTGTCTCCATCTGGCAGGGGGAGTGGTCGCACCCAGGGCTCTTGGCCCATCTCACCTGAGCACCACCACCCACTGCAGACCGAGGTCTTAACGCGATACCGCTCTGTCTCCCTTTTGCCTGACCCTTAGAAGGCCACCCTGAGACCCCAGGGGAGACCGCAGTTGGCAACTGTGTAAAGTGAGGACTCCCATGAAGAACTGCTCTTCCCTATCAGCGTAACCTCCACACAGCCTTTTGGCCTACACGCCACCAACAGACGGCAGCCGCCAACAAGAGGAACGCTAGTTTGGGAGTAAATAGGTGGGCGTGTCCCCCCGGGGCTCTATGAAGCTGTGTGACCTTGGCCAAATCGCCTAGCCTCTCTGGGCCTCTGTTGCCCCATTTGTATAATAAGAGGAGGATGTCTGCCCAGCCTGCCTCAGAGGAGAAAGGCAGAAACGCAGAATGAGTAAGAGAAAGCTTTGCAAAACATAAAGAGCACGTGTTGCGGATTAAAATCTTCTGCATGTTTATTACTGTGTAACATACCACCCAGTTCCAAATGGTCTGAACCTCCCAGCCAGACTCCAGTGAAAGAAGACAAGAGCCAGGCTTTCTGGGTGGATTTAAATGGGCCTCACATGCCACCAGGCTGTGCCTCTCAAGCCCCTCCTGAGCCTCGAGCTCTGTGGACTGAATGCCCACACTCCTGGCAAACCGCCACCTTCCCAAGATGACGGGGGTCTCTGCCCCCAGGGACTCTGACTGCCTTGTCATACAGCCTCTGAAAACCACAGCCACCACACACAACACACTCTCTATAATCTGTCACTCCAAGTGTGCCCATCAAATTCTTCGGTGACCAAAAAAAAAAAAAAAAAGAAAAAAAGTCAGTGGATGGAACAGCCCCAGTTCAGAAATTCCCAGTCACACTGTTTTAGGGCTGAACTTGTTTCTTAAAAGGCAGTTCTAATTAGAGTGACATTTTGTCCACTGTGGTTCTTAGTTATGAAAATAATGAGCTATGAAATTCCAATTTATTGTTGACAACTTAAACGGCCAGGCACCCGAGCGGCGCATAACTTCCGAGTGCCACTCTACCTAGTGACAAATCTATTCTGGGCTTCCGGAGGCTGCCCACTGGGCCGGGGAGGGTCCTTGTCCCCTTCAGTCTCCAGGGGCGGTCTGGAGGGCTCCGGGGCACCAGAACATGACGACCCAGCATCTAGACGTCCCCTCTGAGAAGGGCTTGGTGTCTCACCCTGAGAAGATTTCAAACAGCGAGCAAGATGTCGGCTCAGCAACGATGTCTCAGCAAAAACAAAGGAAGGGCCTTCTTTTTGCTCTCTCTCCCTCTGTGCAATGAAGAGGCTTCCCAAGAAGATAGCTAAGACCCACTTGGCTCTCAAAGTCTGACACTGAGATAGTCTAAAATATTTCTTTCCTCTCTCTCTCTCTTTCTCTCCTTCTGTCTTGTCTTCATTGCTCTATTCTATTCTCTGTTTTAAAATCAATCATTCTCTTTTCATTTCCCTCTCCTCAATTTTTCTTCTCTTATTTTCACTCTCATCCTCCTGCCTACAACCACCATCTAACAAGAGCACCAGGCTGATGTCCAGCCTTCCTCCTTGAACTCTGGCTGGGACTCATTTGCTCCTGAGTGCTAAACAGGAGTGGAGCCCAGAGCCTCCTCCCTGGTTGTGAGATGACCTGGGGTGGACAGGGAATAAGAAACAAACGCAAGGATCAAAGTCCCCAAAGGGGATCCCAGACCCCTGGCCTTGAAACTTCTTCCCTTGGCCTCCAGCAAGGCTCCCCAAGGTTAGAAACTGCTTTTCCTTCCATCTAAGAACATGTCTTAAATTCCAGCAGATGAAAGGAAGAGAGCATGCAGAAAACCACAATGTCACTGACATACTTCAAAATATTTATTTTCTATTCAGGCAACTGTTCTCAAATCATAATGCAAGCTACAGGACCAAAGTTGCTTTCTGACCCTGGGAGGAAAATCCTGAGAGAACATTGAACAGCTGGACCTGAGAATACTCCGGCTGCCAGGGCAGACCTCTAGCAACTTCACATGCCCAGAAAAAACCCTGCGGCTTTGGCTTTCGGGTGTGCTGAGATGCCGATGGTCTAAGGGTCCTTGAGGCCTCCTCCCAGTCCAAGAGGACTGACTGGCTGGGTGGACTAGGGTCAGTCACCTGCCCTCTGTAGATTTGTTTCCTCCTCTTAAAACATGCTTCCCTGGATCACACTGAGGCTCTCCTGAGAAAATAAACAGGCATGCTCAAAAGCTGGGCTATCTAGCCCTCTGGGAGAATTGGCATTGTTGGTATTTTGCTGGCAGCAAATCGACAGGTCAAGTGGCAACTTGGAAATGTCAGCTTCGAGAGTTAGTGTGTGTTTGGTGGGTTTTTTTCCCCGCTCTAATAACACTTAGGATGCGTGTCACTGTGAAGGAAACAAAACGTATAGGAGGAAAATACTACAGCCCAACGTAAGGAGGTTGATGATACCCCAACACTGAAAATAACAGCTGACTTTTAAAAATGGAATGCGCTTTTTGAAAACGTTCAGATAAAATATTGATAATGTGATTTTATGACTTGTGGATTTTCCGCCCAGCCCTGCTCAGGCCCCGGGCTCACCCAAGATGTGCAAGGGAAATTCCCAAGAACCTCTTCTTCGTGGGTCCTTTGGAATAATTCACCAGGCTTTCAGAAAACATGTCATTCTTCCTGATTGAGTCACCCCATTCCACGAGGCACTCGAAATGGGGGTTTCCCCGGGCTCCTTTGACTTGAATGGCCTTGAAAGGGCTTTGCAAACTCTAAAGTATTAGGCATGTTAGCGAAGTGCTACCATGATTTTCAATACGACGTGGGCACATTGGACAGCTGCTGGGTCATGTTTTAGGTCATTATTGAAAAAAATCAAGGGAAGCCTGCAGCTTCTGCCTTTACCTGCCGAGAATTTTGCTGACACAACCATGGCTGACTCGAAGCTGCCTTGAGATGTCACAGGGCCTGACACCTTGATGAGCGAGTTCCACTATCCTTTGGCGGACTACATCCGGGAGTGGCCGTCCATTCACAAAAACCCCCCCAAGCTGATTCACTCCTCCATGTCCTGAAACAGATCAGAAACAAAAGGCGAGGGAAAGGGTGGTTAGAATCAGTCACATAGTAGTACTAGAAGCGCTGTTAACAAGCACCCAGAGCCTCTCTGATCAGAAATGGCCGCAGGCTGCCTATCTTGAGCCTGGAGTCTGATCGTGCAGGCTTCCCGAGCACCTTGCTTTTTAAAATTAACCTTTGCCTTTGTCCATCTTCAGCCAGTCAGTCGGGCTATTGATAACAAACATCCCCGTACTATGTTTCCTTTAGTTGCTAAATTGTAATTTCCTTTAGTTGCACCTTGTAATTTTTTGTTAACAATGGAGTATGTAAAAGACCCCAATCTACACTAGAAACATAACTTACTACATGCACGATGCTAAGCTCTAAGGAAGACCCTGGGGAGAAAATATGTTTTAAAATGCATCAACTGTAAAGAGATTTTTAAAAACGAAACTCTTTTCCTTTTAACAAATATCTGTAAAAGTGAAAAGGACTACTCCAATAAACTAGATCTCACACGGGAAAAAAAAATTTTTTTAATCAGCAATCTGATTCAAGGGCTAAGGACTTAAACATTTTTGTTTAAATAATGTCTACATGGTACTAAAACAAAATCCAACCACTGCCTTGATCACAAACAAACAAACAAACAAAAACCCTTTTCTTTAAAAAGATGGGGCTCATCCCTCAATAAAGGGGAAAAATAAACAAAAAAGGGGAGGCTAACACGCAGACTTGACCACTGTACCCTCCCAGAGCACACAAAAGAAATGGGTCAGAGGATCACATTCCACTCTACCACACCAGGATTTGTTATAAAGAGTTTCCCTGGAAATTCTGAAGTGTTTTTGCAATTGACAAGCAGCTTCAAGTTGATTTGGAGCGGGGGGTGGGGATAAAGAAGCTGGAGAAAGCTTCCGAGTCCCAGGTTTTACAAGCGCTCTGAGATGGATTTTAAGCCAAAGGAGTCTGGGAAAGTATCTTCTCCACCCAATAAGCTCCCTTCTCTTATATCAAAGTCCATCTGGAGGGAAACAGGGATCCAAGTAAATGAAGAGCAGAACCAGTAAACACAGAGTGACCCAGTATAGCAACATCATTGACCTTGTAGCTGTTAATCAGCCATTAACTGACATTGCTGAGGACAGTCAAAAGCCAAAATCCAAGTCCAAGCATTTATTTACCAATGCTGCTGGTAGCTCAGAGGCCACCGATGGGGAAAGCTCCATCTAAACTGGGACTTGCCTGGGATTAGACTATACCAGGGAAGCTAGGCAACTCAGACATCGCTCTCTCACTCACGTGTGCGTGCACGCGCACGCACACATACATACACACACACACACTCCAATTCTAAAACATAAAATAGCCTCCTCATCTTAGCTATGCCCCCTCAACACTCAATATCTATCTAGGTTTATGAACATCTGAAAAAAAAAAGGGGGGGGGAAACACCCATAATATAACCTATTTCCTTAAAACTGCCAAAGCAATTCACTGCCGTTTTCCAAGAGGTTCCTAACTGAATATTTCCCAGAATTTCCGAGCTCAGGCTGATTTCAAGGAAAAACACAATTTTATAGGTAACGACGGTACTTAATTCCAATTCTTAGCTGAATTTCTTGATTTTCAAAATGAGCTTTAATTGGCTTTGATCGTTCTAAAACACCCCAGACATAAGAAAAAGGAAAACCATCCCAAACAGGATTTCGCAGTTAGAAACAAAACTGTATAGTTCACCTAAAACAGAAAGATTACAGCCACCCCTGGTCAAGGGCCTTAGAAAGTCTTTGTTCCGAGATTGGGAGCACCTGATAAAAAAAGATTGTACAGATCTTCAGAGAACAGGCTGGATTGAAGAAAGTAAATTCAGAATTTGTACAAGCTCATCTGAGGACGGAAAAGAAGCTAAAAGCGTCCAGCACACTTTTGAGATAACCTATTAGTCCAGGCCTTGAGACCCATTTGCAATTGCTTGTTCCCTATGCCCCTGGCAATTTGAACTTTCTGCCCAAAACGCAATGACAACCTTCAGAGGACTTAAATTCCAAGAGCAGTCCTCCAGGACATTTGTGAGCTTTTGGGAACTTTTGCAACATGGAAAAAAATCCCAAGGGTTGGACACTCTAACTGACAGCAGGTCCCAAACCCTCTACTTTTGACCACAAAGACAAGGCTACCTATGTTCTTCCACAGTCTGATCCATATAAGCACAGAGCTCACACTAGACTCAGGATGACCTGGGAGCGCCCTATCCCCCTCAACTTCCCAGAAAGGCTCCCAAACTCACTTGGCTAGGTCTTTTCTGCCTCAGTCACAGTCCTAGCCAATAGAGCATTTTCAAGGGTGGTGGGGAGGTAATTTACCTGGTCCGAGAAGGCAATGTCTCCCACTTATCCCGAGATTGGAAAGAAGTAAAACCTGAAGCCTGAGAGAGGGAGGCAGGATGGGGAAAGAAAAGAGGAAAAGTGAGGGGAAGGATGCAAAGCGTGGAAACTAAATGAAACAGACAGCAAGGACAGAGAGCGAGGAAGGGAAGTCTCAGGTTAGAAAGGCAGAGGAGGAGAGAAAGGAATGGATCAGCTAGTACCAGCAAAGGAAAGAAAGGTGAGTGTGGTGTACGTTGGGAGGCAAGAAGACCAGAAGAGAAAATGGAGGAAGCCCAGTAAAGAGGCATCTGGAAAACAGAGGACTTCTGTGGAGAAGAATCTTTGTTTTCTGGGACCCCTGCTCCAGTCCTGCATATCCTCAGAGAGCCCAAGTCCCAGCCTCTACTTCCTATGGACTCCTGCTGCATTAGGTTTCATCCCCTGAGGGGTGCATGTTCCCAGCTACACTTCTCAGGGACAAGTAGAATTTTCAGAGAGCCTGACACAGAGACAGATACAAACAAATCAAGGCAAAGACCAGGAAACAGACACACAGATACAAGGGAAACACAGGCCTCCCCCCACAGGACAAGCCACGCAGGGTTTGGAGGAGGACTGGGGGGAAAGGCTTGAAGATACACCCAAGGCCTTTGTGGCTCTGGTTTCTGAGGGCTGGCCTGCATGGAAGCTCCTTAGGCCCTGACAAGGATGTACTACCTACCAGGGGTCCTATCCAAACCCCAGAGACCATGGCTAGGTAAAGGGTTGTGGGAAGATGGTCTCTGCTAACTCAGCAGGAAGACCCAACTCCAAAACCCCACAAGGTTATTGAAATTCCTCCTTGTGACATTGGAGAGGAGAAACGAAGGGACACACAGACATGCAAACAAGGACACAGGGAAAGAGGAGGGATAAAATCTCCTTGAAGGGCTCAAACCAACAGACGGCGCTGACACAGATAGACAGTAGGGTCTTCGGGGCAGATCTAGTTAAACCAGAGAAAATGCCTTGCACATGTGTATACTCACTCAAACAGTCCACTGCCCTCTCTCTGGAATCTTGAGTCCCGCCCTCTCCTCTTCTGTAAATCCTAGGAGACCCAGAACCAGCTCCAGCTTTGCCCAGGCAACCTTCCTGTCCGCCTTTTTGTCTCTCTGACTTCAATATCATACTCTGTACAATGGGTTTAGCTGAGGTTCAGATGACACTCAGGTAGGATGCTGGCCGTAAAAGTGCTTTATAACTGGAAAAATACCTGGGGGAAGGAAACATCTAGGCAGGGGTGGTGGAAGGCCACTGTATAGATGAAAATGATGAATCTAGATTGGGAGTAAGAGCAAGAAAACACAAAAGCCAGTTTCCCGGCAGTCCCTTCCCCTCCCCCAATACCACCTCTCCACAGAAGCTGTCTTGCTCCAAATGGGGTGGGGGCCCCCCAGAAAGAAACTGACCAGGGCCAGGCAGGAAGACAAGGAAGTGGGACTTGGTCTGAGCCCCTGCTACACCAGCAACCTCTCAGGATCTACTTGTACACCTCGACAATCGCCAACAAACTGGGGCCCAAGGTGGGCCTACATTGTACAAGCAAACAGCTTTAGGCATCAGACCAAGGGCACTTCCAGAGAAGCCAGCTCTGAAAGCTAGCCTGGTTGGGGCCCAGCCCCCACCATGCTGCCAAGAAGATTGAAAACAGGAGGAGGGAGCACTTCTCGAGGAACGAGCAGATGAAGGCCAGGACAAGGAAGGACAGAGACAGGCATTTTCAGTTGGCTAAACCACCTTCTCCACCCTTATGCACTGCCAGGACACCACTGGTTCTGATTCTATCTCCCCAAGCGTCCAGCAACCCCTGGGGCTCTGGTGTCTACACAGGAGGAAGTGAGGGTCTGTGGATTCTGAATGGTGAGGAGAGACGTGCAGGGGTCAGCCCTCTCCATTTGTCCCCCATTCGCTCTTTGGCTGAGCTAAAGGCTTACACCCCTCACAGAGTATTGACCCCAACTCGTTTGTTTTCTCGCTTGCTCAGAGAGAACAGATCCTCCCCGGAGCACGGCTCAAGTCTGCCCAGGCGACAGCTGCTGGGGGGAGAGGGGGGCGCTGGGGTCACCAAGGACTGGAAACCGTTTTGGCACAGGCCCCAAATGGTGAGGAATCGTTTGGGGTAGGACCGGTGAAAGCGGCTTCTCTGCGCAAATCTCCCTACTGCTTTGGTGGATTACCTTTCATTCGGAAAATTGACACAAAGAGAAACTGACCTGCCCGCAACCAGCCCGGGAGGCTTAGATCAGCATTTCCCTGCTTACCAGGACACTCCACCCTCCGGGGCAGAAACCGACATTTTCGCCAGGGAAGCATGCCTTCTCTCCAGCCGGGTCTATGCTGCCTTTGTTAAACAGGGGACTCACGGCTGGGTGAGCAGGATCCTGGACTGTTTTAGAGGAACCTGGCTTGGGGTAAACTCCCAGTCCGGAAGCAACTCCCTGACCTGCCGCCCGTGGGGACCAGATCTGGGCACCCCACTGGATGCCTCCAAAGCCTGGCGCCTTGCTCTGGCCCAGCTCTGCAGCCCGCAGAAGGGAAACACGATTCGTTCCACTTGAAATTTCCTTGAAATCTCCGAATCTAATCCGGCGTTAACTCA